TGGAGTCTTTTTTTGAAGTTTTTTTGTTGAAGAATTGCCACTTTTAGGTCTGTAATTGAGTGACCAGAGAGATTAAAGTGTTCTCCAACTGGTTTTTGAATGTTATAATTCTTGATGTCTGATTTGTGTCCATTTATTCTTTTACGTAGAGACTGTCCAGTTTGACCAATGGACATGGCAGAGGGGCATTGCTGGCACATGATGGCATATATCACATTGGTAGATGTGCAGGTGAACGAGCCTCTGATAGTGTGGCTGATGTGATTAGGCCCTGTGATGGTGTCCCCTGAATAGATATGTGGACACAGTTGACAACGGGCTTTGTTGCAAGGATAGGTTCCTGGGTTAGTGGTTCTGTTGTGTGGTGTGTGGTTGCTGGTGAGTATTTGCTTCAGGTTGGGGGGCTGTCTGTAAGCAAGGACTGGCCTGTCTCCCAAGATCTGTGAGAGTGATGGGTCGTCTATTGCAAAATTGCCACCCTTAAATCTTTTACTGAGTGGCCAGAGAGGTTGAAAAGCTTCTAAAACAGAGACTCCAAGGAGAAACTGCTGACTTGAATTAATATGCAAACTAGATACCATTAACTTGGGTTTGAATAGAGACTGGGAGTGGCTGGGTCATTACACATATTGACAGGTTTCAGAGTAACAGCCGTGTTAGTCTGTATTCGCAAAAAGAAAAGGAGTACTTGTAGCACCTTAGAGACTAACCAATTTATTTGAGCATGAGCATGAGCTTTTGGTGATCTGATGATCACTTTAGATAAGCTATTACCAGCAGGACAGTGGGGTGGGAGGAGGTATTGTTTCATGATCTCTGTGTGTATATAAAGTCTGCTGCAGTTTCCACGGTATACATCTGATGAAGTGAGCTGTAGCTCACGAAAGCTCATGCTCAAATAAATTGGTTAGTCTCTAAGGTGCTACAAGTACTCCTTTTCTTTTTACACATATTGAATCTATTTCCTTAAGTTAAGTAACCTCACACCTTCTTGTCAACTGTCTAAATGGGCCATCTTGATTATCACTACAAAAGTTTTTTTCTCCTGCTGATAATAGCTCATCTTAATTAATTAGCCTCTCACAGTTTGTAGTCTGTAGCTCACGAAAGCTCATGCTCAAATAAATTGGTTAGTCTCTAAGGTGCCACAAGTACTCCTTTTCTTTTTGCGAATACAGACTAACACGGCTGTTCCTCTGGAAACAGTTTGTATGGTAACTTCCAATTTATCTGTATGTGTATATATCTATCTTACTATATGTTCCATTCTGTGCATCCGATGAAGTGGGCTTTACCCCACGAAAGCTTATGCTCTAATAAATTTGTTAATCTCTAAGGTGCCACAAGTCCTCCTGTTCTTTTTGCGGATACAGACTAACAGGGCTGCTACTCTGAAACCTGTTAATCTCTATGTCGACATAATGAGTTGTGGAGTATCTCAGCTTTGACTTTGACCCACACCACTCCCTCTCTAGCTGTAAGATGCCTCATTTCAGTACTCCACAGACAATAGCAAGCAGAGGATGTTTAGGGGTTAGGCACCTCCTGCAAAGAACAGTGCAGAATGTGGAGCAGTCACTACTATGCTGTGTAGCATGCTTGCATACCGGAAATGCCGTGCAAGCAGGCTTCTACGGGAGATATTCTGGGTCTTCCTCTGTGTGTCCCTGGCTAGACTGGAGGCCCCAGACAATCTCATTATCCTGAACATCCAACCTGATATTAAATATAATTTCCACATTAACAATTGTAATGTGTTCTGCTAGTTAAGCATACATTTAAATTCAACAAGACCATATCCTCAGGCAAAACTCACACTAAAGTCAATGGGAGTTTTGAATGAGTAAAATCTCAGTAAGAATCTCAGAATTGCAAGAACTCTGTATATAATGCATATAATGCACATGACTAAAAGTGTCTTGGGAATATAATACTTCAAGTCACCAATGACATTTGAAAATTTCTTCTGAAGTATGGTACTTTACAATCAGCCTTCTTTGCAGGAACAAGCGGATACTGTACATAAACATATAAACAAATATTCTGTAGAAGCTAAAAGCTATATTTCACCTCTCCTTTGTTAACTCCTTTGTGAACATATGCCCACTGTGCTAGGTCAGTACACATGATAAACTCCGATGTAAGTACAGCAATACTAATTTTTCAGTGGATTTCAAGTCTCTAAACTTCTGTAGGAAAACAGGTTTCAGAGTAGCAGCCGTGTTTGTCTGTATCCGCAAAAAGAAAAGGAGGACTTGTGGCACCTTAGAGCTTATGCGGAAATAAATTTGTTAGTCTCTAAGGTGCCAAAAGTACTCCTTTTCTTTTTGCAAGAAAACATTCACTCCCACCCCCACTTGTGATTCATCAACTCATGACACCAATACACACAGAATCCTATAGACATTTGTCATATTTACTATTTTTTGTGATTATTACCTGACTTCTTAAAATAGACACCACAATTTAAAAATCACAGAAATTTAATTTTTCAAAAATAATACCACTATCAACTAAAGTCAGTGGCATGCACTAAATACAGGTTTGAAACTAAGCATTTTAGCCTACACACCTAGCAGCAACAGAAACTGATGAATTTTTGAAGCTCTGTTAAATAAATTTAAAATAAGCCAATTCTGACCAATTCCTGTTCTGAATTACTACTGTCCATTACATTCTGAATTTAGCTCTGTTCAGTTTACATACTCAATCCTTTTGCCAGTAACCTGCCACAATTCTCAAAATAAACGTAAGATACTAAGGGTGAAATCTTAGCCCCATTGAAGTCAATTATATGAAGATTTCACCACAAGGTTCATTAAAAAAATAAGTTATATGGAAAATGCAACAATTAATTAATTCATATTTATCAGAACTCCTAGCCAAAGCTTTTTCATTACAGCAGCCTAGAGTAGGGATGACAGACTATATGCATACCTGCAAAAGGTAACTTTTTTTAAAAAATTAGAAAATAAAGTAACACAAAAACTACTCAGTTCACTTGTTCTTGTGAAAACAGCTTGGTATACTATTCTTCACAGATTTTAATTTTTCAGAAAGTAAAAACAACATTTCAGAATTTTGTTATTTTTTCATTTTTGTTATTTTTTAAAAAAAGTGTTATACTGGATCATTTAGCATATGTCCATTATTTTAATCTTTTTACTCCCCTTAAATTATCATAATCAAAGACAAAAAACCTGTAGACTTTTCCTGTATATATTCCCATGCAGCACGGCTGATGAAATTATTAATAATGAATCAACGTAGCATCATCTGCAATTATTTTATTATGTACCACATTTACCTTGCCCACATAAAATAACCTCTAAATAAGCATTTGCTTCATAATTTACTGTCTAGACATAAACAGGTATAACTAGATCATAAATATCTCACAGCAAGACTGGATGCTTAGTCAAGTGTATGCCATAGCAGGCCTGTAATGTATCTGTGAAAGATAACAATTAGTACATCTAAAATACTTAATCTACTAAACTGTCTCTTTATTGAACCAGTTATGTTTAAATCTTTACTTGCACTGATTAGCAACCTTAAATATTTGCATGCAAGACTGAAATCCTGCAGCGCCTTGCAACTCACACAATCCTCTGCCACTAATTTCTGACTTCCTCAACCGAATCTCAATTTCCGTTTTCCTTCTCACCCCAAAGCACAGTTCTGCCCAAAGAGTTTTAATACCCCATCATTAACTCATTACATGTGTGCACAATCCCAAACCCATTATTACATTTTGCTCCATGCTCCACCATCATGCTGCCAAACATGGCTGCATCATGTCCTTCTTGTGTTTGATGTGTATGTATTTTCCTTTTCACCTCTTAGGATTCCTTCCCTTGTCCTACATTTGCATGTGGGCACCAATAAAAAAAAAATATCACATTATTAAAAACTACCTTTCACTGTGTTTAATACTTCCACATTTTTATTTTAATCTTTCAACATAAGTCAAAATATGTTTTTCCTTCTCACTTTCCAGGATCACTTAAAAAACAATCAGGTAAACTATACAATCAAAATGCTCTGTTTTTATTTTTGAAGTTTTTTCATATTTTCCCACACCAGAAATCTTTTGTAATCAAAAATATTGTCCCTCCACCAAGTATTGAACAAAAACAATAACAGCAAAAGAAAATTTTATCTGCTTTTCTTCCCTGCAGCTCCCTCTCCTGAAATTGGACCCCTTGTATATAAATTCATCTCAGAACCATTCCACCAATCCCTTACAAAAGAAAAAAAAAATCCCAATCTCTGTTTTGAAAGTCAATTTCTCTCTGCTTTAGAATTCCATTTCTTTTTCTTTGTTTTTGTTTGATTTTTTTAAACACTAATCACTTTCTTCAACAGCAGGAAGAAAAATAAATTCTGGCAAATCTATTAGTTATTTCCCTGTATCTTTCTCACAAAATTTTTAGACATTGAAGACTTTTATAAAAATCTACTAAGGTTTTTTTAAAATTGTAGTCTGTGCGTTAAAATAACCGTACCAATTAAACCTATCGTTACACTGCACTTGGGTTTCAGGGTTTCTTTCACTGCTGTACTGATCCCAAGTTTGCAAATAGGCTGCAGACCCTTACTAAGAAGCCGGCTGCTTCATAAAAGGTGCAAGTTTATCAAAATATTATTCGATCTTCTTCCACAGCAGCTGCACGGAGACGGCTCAAGTGGCTGTACGCCTCAGTGCAGAGCCACTGTGTATATCCTGGGCTCACAGACCGTTATGACAATAAATTACAACGGGGGGCTGGGCAGCAGCGCTGCATTTTGGATACTTTTCTTGCAAAATGTTGGAACTTTGTAAACATTTTCTCTGCAGGGTTAGCCTCTGCAGAGGGTTCACACCCACCCTCCTCTATATGGAAAGAATAATAACCCTCCCCCTGCTGCTCAGCCAGGCAGAAATCCCCCCCCCCCGCACACACACACACACACCCACTCACACATTGCAACAGAATGTCTCTGCCCTCCACACTTACCCACAGCTCTGTCCCCCAGCTCATGGCTCCAACAGATCCGAAGAGGAGAGGGTGGGGGGGTGGCGCTGGAGAGTGGGGGGATAATTAGCCCGTGGGGTCTTGCCCCTTCTTTTCCCCGGCCTCCCCAAAAAAAAAAAATCAACGCCCCCCCCCCCACACACAAAAATTCCTTTGGCTGCACAAAATACCCCTCCCCCGCAACTCCTGAGTCTGGGTCTCTCTTCCCCCCTCCTCTGTTGTGGTCACTGCAGCTTCTGCTGCTGCCTCATTTCTCCCTCCACAGCAAAATGGCCAGGGAAGCCAGCAACAGCCACACCACACGGGGGCCGGGGGGGGGAGAGGAATTGACAGCTCCAGGGCACTGCGCGTGCGCCTCCTCCAAGGAGGCGCCAGGGAGAGAGCGTGTGAGACTGCGCAAGCGCACGCCGGCGAGCACGTGAGGCGGCTGTTGTGAGAGAGAGAGAGAGAGAGGGGGCTTGCGCCACAGGCTGGAGCAGCCTCGCTTTGCACGTTCCAGCTGTCGCTGCCTTCTGGGAAGGTGGGCAAAGTGGCCACGTGCTGCTCTGGTGCAAGCCCATTGATTTGCACCTAACGGCAGGATTTACCCCCCCCCCCCCATGCCGCAGATTTGTAGTGGTACAACTGAAAGCATGGTTTGTATACATCACTCCCTCCAAAAGCACGTCCACTTTGCAAGCCACGCGCATGGCACAGATTTTTGCACGGACGTCACTGAAGGCAGAGTTTGAAACCCACTCTCTGCCTGTCCCCAGCTGCGTGGGCAAAATGCCACTAAACTGTAGGGCAAGGCAAGCCGGTTTTGAAGCACTGTGTGCACCCCTCGATGCTGTACCTGGGCAATCATCCTTTAATTCGTGTGTAATTGAAGGCAGGATTTCTTCTCACTCACCAAGTACAGCTTTAGGCATGGATGTGGATAGTTTAATCTACTTGCCTGGGACAATTTTCCAAACCAGTCACCACTCACTAAGATTGCGCATATATTATGGTAAACTTTAGGGCTCTCCTTCCTCTGACCCCTAAGCTCTAGTCTTGCCCCTCTTCCTCTCAAGTCTTTCTTACAATTAATTCTCCTGGTCTAGTCTCCCCCATGTCTCCTATTTCTACAGATTTCTGTTCCCTTGGTCTCTTTCCCCATTTCTCATCACTCCGGGAGTACCATTTTTACCATATTTTTTAAAAATAAAGTTCCAAATTATTGTGATTGTGTTGCGGCTATGGGGGGGAGGGGGATGGAAGGAGATCAAATGGTTGCAGGAAAAAATGGTATTTGAAGCATGTCTGTTTCATGTTACCTAGTTAATTACTGCAAGTTCAGCCAGAAAATAAGGCAGTGATTTCTAACAAAATCAATTGTCAACCATTTATTTCTTCTAAACTCAACACATGAGCAGGTTTAATCAAACTATAGTTTAATCAAACTATCCCTCAAAGTGAAATATTGACAAAATAATTGACCAGGGCATTATATCAGCTGTGTGAACCTTCCAGAAAACCATGCTTATTCACTCAACCCCTAGAAACAAAAGATTTGTTTTGGAGTAATTTTGCTTAGCAACAGTGCACATCTTAACCGGATTCAACTGTATCACTTAATCTGATTTTACAATTCCGTTTTCTAACCACAGGAAACTTGCAAGAGTTTTAGATCACTATGTTTTTAAGTGTTATTGGGCCCATTCCAGAAAAGCTTACAAATACAAAAATTCATGGAACTCACATGAATAATGGCTTATTTGAATAAATAAGGGGTTGTAAAATTGGGATTACCATTATTACATACATTTAAGAAGGTATCTATCACTGTAAAGGTGGACAACTTTTAGCCAATTTATAGCAAGACAATTCCCCCCCAAAAAGGGGACATACACTCTGCATCAAACTGAAATCACCAACCCCCACATTTGTGAAAGGACCAGAAGCAGAGAATTACTAAGGGATTCCAAAACCTACAGCAAAACTGTGCACAAAGTTTCAATTATTTCATTGCATAAATATTTATCCTATCTAGTTCAATAAATTGTTTTAAACATAACAGGACTTTACTACAGCAGTCACCATTATCTCTGAAAGGAATGGGTCTATGGTTTTGTTCATGCTATATTTTAGCACTGAATTGTAACAAGTTACATTCACAAGTCACCTGAACTGAGTTCAGTTTGTGTTCACACAGAGCGTTTCTGATATCAAAGCCACATTTATGCGTTTTCACCTACCATGCATTGCTGCCTAACCACAGCCCCAATCTTGCAGTGAGTGCTGCTTGGACAGATCTTTGCACCTGGGCAGGGCCCCATTGACATTAGAGGTCTGCTCAGAGCTTGGTGCAGGATCAGGGCCTGTATTTGTATCAGTGCATTTTGGGAAGTTATCCCATTGTACATCAGCAGGAAAGTCGCACAAACAGCTGGAAAGGGGACAAGCCAGACCTGTTACACAGGCATGGTTAGGGAATCCTGTGCATATTGAAAGGGGGAAAAAATGCTCTGAACCAGTTAAGCAAAGACAATCACATTCCAGTACTCTAGCTGACCACAGTTACAAATTTGAATTTTAACTATGGTGGATGCAGATGTACTACACATTTAGAGCTAACCATGCCAGTAACTGTAAAAACTTATTTAAAAGTTTTGGTGTGGAAAGGGGCTTGCTCTGTCCCACAAAGTGAACTAAATTATAAGGTAAAATCCCAGATATTTGTGGAAAGGAGCTCCAACTTTCTGACTGCAGAAAACCGAACACTCTTGCCCCACCCCTTCTCCAACACCCCATTCCCACTCATTCCATCACCCCTCCCTCGCTCGCTCTCCCCAATCCTCACTCACTTGCTCATTTTCACTGTGCTGGGGTAGAGAGTGAGGGTTCCAGCTAGGGGTGCAGGCCCTGGGGTGGGGCTAGGGATGAGGAGTTTGGGGTACAGGAGGGGGCTCCGGGCTGGGGCCGGGGGGTTCGGAGTGTGGAAAGAGTCTCCAGGCTCGGGCAGGGGGTTAGGGTGTGGGAGGGGGTATGGGCTCTGGGCTGGAGGTGCAGGCTCTTGGCTGGGGCCAGAAATGAGGGGTTCAGGGTGCAGGAGGGGGCTCTGGGTGGGGGAGGGGGTTGGGGTGCAGGGGGGTGAGGGCTCCAGCTGGGGGTGTGGGATCTGGGGTGCAGGGGGGGCTCAGGGCTGGGGCATGGGAGGGAGTGTGGGGTGCAGGCTCCAGGAGAGAGTTTGGATGCGGGAGGGGGCTCAGGTCTGGGGAAGGGGATTGGGGTGCAGGAGGGGTTACGGGCTCAGGTAGCTCCTGGGAAGCAGGGACATGTTCCTCTGACTCCTAGGCACAGGGGCAGCCAGGCGACTCTGCGCACTGCCCCCATCCACAGGCACTGCCCCTGCAGCTCTCATTGGCTGCAGTTCCCGGTTCCTGTGCCATGGGCAGAGGCAGCATGTGGAATCCCCCTGGCTGCACCTACACCTAGGAGCCAGAGGGACATGCCGGCTGCTTCCAGGAGCCATATGGCACCGGCTGCTGTGAGCGGCTGAGCCACCAGGCTTCCTTTTTGACCTGGCGTTTCGGTCAAAAAACGGACGCCTGGCAACCCTAGTTCAGCTCCACCAGTAGTAGCAATAGCAGTGTCTACATGGGGGGATTAGGTCGTCTGAATTACATCACACAGGATGTGAACTTTTTCACAGCCCTGAGCGATAATTAAGCCAAACTAACTATGTAGTGTTCACCAGCCCACTGAAAAATAGTGGAACATGCCATTTGCAGCCTAACACAGAGTTCATTCTGCTTGTACGTAATATACCTTTCCCCTATCTTTTGTTAGTCTTGTCTATTTAGATTGTAAACTCTTTGGGGCAGGGATTGTCAATAGCTCTGTGTTTGTACATCACCTAACACAATAGGGCTTCCTTCTTGGTTGGTGTCTAGGCACTACCTTAATAACCATAATTAACAACAACAAAAGCAGAAATTCTGGAAACATCTAAAACCAAAGTGTGAAAGCCTAAAGTGCTAACAAGTTGTTAAAACCTCAAAAGAGTGGTTTAGCTGGTACTTAGAAAACACACTTAAGTTGTTTTAAGAAAAGGAGTACTTGTGGCACCTTAGAGACTAACCAATTTATTTGAGCATGAGCTTTCGTGAGCTACAGCTCACTGGCTGGGATTTCTTCCTGGAGCTCTAGGAAAACAGAGTTAATAAAACACATGCATCTCTAAATATACTACCAAGTACATAAAGACTAACAATATTTTCCACATCTCAAGGACGATTTTAACCAGTTGATTCTGGGAAACTTTCACGGGAGAGTGCATCAGCCACTTTGTTAGAAGCTCCTGAGATGTGTTGGATGTCGAAATCAAAATCTTGGAGAGCTAAACTCCACCGAAGAAGTTTTTTGTTAGTTTCCTTGACGGTGTGAAGCCACTTCAGTGCAGCATGGTCGGTTTGCAGGTGGAAACGCCGTCCCCAAACATATGGGCGTAGCTTTTCCAGAGCATAGACAATGGCATAACATTCTTTTTCAGTGACTGACCAGTTGCTTTCCCTCTCAGACAGTTTTTTGCTGAGAAACACTACAGGGTGGAATTCTTGATCAGGTCCTTTCTGCATTAAAACTGCTCCCACACCACGCTTGGATGCATCTGTGGTTACTAGGAATGGTTTGTCAAAGTCTGGGGCCCTTAGTACAGGGTCAGACATGAGTGTCGCTTTAAGCTTGTTAAAGGCCTTCTGACACTTTCCGGTCCACTGAACAGCATTTGGCTGTTTCTTTTTGGTTAGGTCTGTCAGTGGGGCAGCGATTTGGCTGTATTGCGGTACAAATCGTCTGTAATAACCGGCCAAGCCTAAGAAGGATTGAACCTGTTTCTTTGACTTTGGGACAGGCCACTTTTGGATAGCATCCACTTTGGCCTGTAGGGGGCTGATAGTTCCTTGACCCACCTGGTGTCCAAGGTAAGTCACTCTGTTTAGGCCTATTTGACACTTCTTAGCCTTAACAGTTAGTCCTGCCTCCCTTATGCGCTCAAGGACTTTTTGTAGATGTTCCAGGTGGTCTGCCCAGGAATCCGAAAATATGGCCACATCGTCAAGGTAGGCGACTGCATATTCTCCTAATCCCGCTAGGAGACCATCTACAAGTCTTTGGAAAGTGGCGGGTGCATTTCGCAGCCCGAAAGGGAGTACATTAAATTCATACAGCCCGAGATGTGTGATGAAGGCTGACCTTTCCTTGGCAGATTCATCTAGCGGTACCTGCCAGTACCCCTTGGTTAAGTCCAAGGTAGAGATGAACTGGGCCCGTC